CATTCTTTACGCGTGCCCGGTCTTACAATCAGACCCGATGATTCAAATCCTAGAGTGGCGATACTTTAGGTTTGTCTTCAACGCCGACATCGAGAAGATGTATCAGCAAATTTGGGTAGACCCCAAGCATAATCCGCTCCAACGTATTTTGTTTCGCAACCCGATGGGGTTATCCGCGACTACGAGTTGAAAACGGTCACCTTCGGAGTCAATTGTGCCCCGTTCCTGGCGATCCGATCTGGCGACGACGAAGAGTCGAAGTATCCGCAGGCAAGCCAAGTTATCCGGCAGTTTATATACGTTGATGACGTTCTCGCGGGGGCCGACTCCAAAACTGAAGCCCAAGCTGCGATTCGGGGGCTGAAAAGGGCCCTAGAGTCAGCAGGATTCCCACTTAGGAAATGGACGTCGAATAGCAAGGCGATCCTGCCCGAAATTTCGAGCGACCACCGTCTTCGTGCTGACTTTCTCGACATCGATGCCGGAGCACGGCCAAGACACTCGGCGTGCGGTGGAAAGCGATGACTGATGAATTCCTTTATGTCCCGCCAGAGTTGACTTCCGGCTCGGCTTTCACGAAGCGCCAAGTCCTCTTCGAAATTGCCAAATTGTTCGATTCGGGCAAAAATGTTCATGCAAGACATTGGGCTTCTGAATCTAGGGTGGGACAACGCCCTCCCTCAAGATTTCTGTCAGCGATGGGTTGACTTCCTAAAGAATTACTCGGTGATTGATCAGCTTCGTGTTCCTCGGTGGGTCGCGTTCCGACCACATCTAAAGGTCGAACACCACGGGTTCTGCGACGCTTCACAGAAGGCGTACGGCGCAGCAATTTACGTTCGTGTCGAGGTCGGGTCCACGGTAACAGTGACCCTGCTGACTGCAAAGACTCGAGTGACCCCAGTTAAAACGGTGCCGCTCCCTCGGATAGAACTGTGCGCTGCCTTGTTGTTGTCCGAGATGGCCACCGCCGTTCTGCTAAAGATGCCAGGGGCCGCTTCTGCCCTCTACTGTTGGACCGACTCGACTATTGTCCTCGCGTGGCTGCATAAGCCAGCGTGCCAGTGGACAACGTTCGTGGCCAACCGGATGACCAAGATCACCCAGTTCACCGACGTGCAGAAATTGGCACATGTCCGCTCCGAGCAGAACCCTGCGGATCTCGCAGATCTTCCAAGATCTTGCAGATAACCAGCTGTGGTGGCACGGTCCTGACTGGATGCAAAGGCCTCGCAGCGACTGGCCCACTCAAGGCAATGAAACCCCCGTGACTGAACTCGAGAAGCGAGCAGTCAAGGTCCATGTCGCGAAAGCGCCCCCCGAAGATCTCCTTGAGCGGTTTTCCACGCTCGACAAGGCATTACGAGTCCTTGCCTATGTTAATCGCTTCATCCAGCGCGCGCGGAAGATTCGATCCTCGTTTGAAGAGCACCTGTCCGCCAATGAGGTTACGTCGGCTGAACGTCTTCTAGTTTCCGTAACTCAGCGCAGACACTTCGTCTCTGAGATGGGCTGCTTAAGCGAAAAGCGTCCAATATCGGCATCCAGTCTGATTCAAAATCTGAACCCCTTCGTGGATTGGCAAGGCCTTATGAGAGCTTGCGGCCGGGTCACGTCCTCTGAGCTTCTCCAATATGACGAACCGCACCCTATTATCCTTCCGTACGACTGCCATCTGTCTCGACTCCTGGTTCAATTTACACATCGCATCACGCTGCACGGTGGCAATCAGCTGATGATCCGTCTGATCCTGGCCAAATTCTGGATTCCAAGGGTGCGGAATCAAGTCCGTCGTCTATTCTTGTAAAGTATGTGTCATCCACCGGAAGAAGTTGCAGACGCAACTCATGGGAGAACTACCCAAAAAACGGAGGTCCTTCTCGCGCCCATTCACGTTCACCGGTGTGGATTATGCCGGTCCCTTCGAGATAAAAAACTATACGGGAAGGGGCCTGTCTCATCACAAAGAGTTATGTGTTAGTGTTTGTGTGCTTCTCCACTAAGGCCATCCATTTAGAGCCTACGTCGGACCTTACGACCGAGACATTTCTGGCGGCTTTCGCACGGTTCATGTCCCGGAGAGGATGCCCCCATCAAGTGCAGTCCGACAACGGGAAGACGTTTGTGGGAGCAGCTGCTCTACTATCCCGCGATTTTCTCCGGAGCCTAAAGGGGGCTGTGACCGATGCCTATAGTCACCAGCAGCTTCTCTGGCATTTCAATCCTCCAGGAGCTTCCCACATGGGGGGCCTGTGGGAACCAGGCGTCAAGAGCTTTAGGACCTTGTTCTACAAGTCCACCGCCACGCGGAAATACACCTTTGAGGAGCTGGCTACTCTCCTGGCGAGGATCGAGACGTGCCTGAATTCGCGACCGCTCGCGCCTATATCTGAAGACCCTGCTGATTTGTTGGCTCTTACACCCGGGCACTTTCTTGTGGGAGGCCCACTTCTCTCCACGGTCGAGCCCGAGATAAAGGGGGACACCAATTCCATCATTAACCGCTGGCAACACCTCAAAGCGCTTCAGCAGCAATTTCGGCTCCGATGGAAGGAGGAGTACCTCAAGGAGCTCCATAAGAGAAAAAAGTTGCGAGCCCCTACGAGAGACCTCCGCGTTGGGGATATGGTCGTCATCAAGGAGGACAACCTTCCGTCCAATGAGTGGCGTTTAGGAAGGGTTGACGCGGTGTATCCCGGCTCCGATGGCCATGTCCGCGTGATCGACATCCGCACCGCGCGAGGTCTCGTAAAGCGGCCCGTTGCTAAGGTCGTGCTTCTTCCGTTGGAAGCGTCCGCCTACCCACAGTAATAAACATTTCTTCCGTTCCAATGTTCGTGTCCATTGTGATTATGCGTAGTTCTGAACCTTTATTCACACCGATTCTGATAATGTTATTTGTTCCTTCACCATATTTGCGTCAGCCATAGTCAACACGATGTCACCACGTCCACGCAACACCCGATCGCTGGAGAGCAGATGTTTTCGAGGTATTCAATCCTACCGTTGCCGAGTCTGCAATGGAATCCACGCCTTGAAGAAGTGTCGGCGCTTCCTACGCCTTAGTGCTGAGAAGCGACTCCGAGCGGTTCTCGTGAACCGGTATTGCTCGAGCTACCCGGCCCACGAGCACTCCGACGGATCCTGTCAGCGGGGTGACGGCTGTAAGACGTGTAGTCAGGATCACCACACGCTGCTGCACCTCGTGGAGAAGCCGCGGGCTCGGCGCAAGGCACGCCAAGGGAAGCACCGGTCACGGAGCGAGGGAGACAGGACACGGAGGGTCTCGTCTGGCGCTCGGCCGTCATCCGCCAACTCCCGCCGCGGTTCGGGTGCTCCTCGGCCGGCGTCCGCCACTTTCCGGCATTCCCAACCCGATCCACGGCCACCGACTTCCCGGCACTCGTCGATAAATCCTCGGCATTCTTCCGCCACTCATTGACTACCGCTCATCCGCCCGCGTTATCCGCACCTAGGCAATGTTCCGCCTCTCGTCGAGGGCCCCCGCAGGACGCGGTCGCTGCGCCCACCCTCTTGTCGCTGCTGCAGCGGAACAGCGTCAACGTGCTGCCGACTGCACTAGTGCGGATAGACACCGGGACCCGGAGCTTCGACACGGGGGCCCTCATCGACCCGTGTTCGCCCTCGAGCTGAATCGACGCCTCGCTCGCTGCGTGTTTCCGGCTGCCTACTACCAGCGTGGGGGACGAACAAGCGTGTTCCGCCACCGTGGGTTCAAAGACCGATGATAGTTTCGCTGGAGGTCATCTTTAAGATTGAGCCTCACGTGCGCGTTCGTACGCCGTCCCGGGAGCTGAGCAGGGAGGTGCGTGCCCACTTCCGAAGCGTGACGTTGGCGGATGAGCGATTCCATCTGCCAGCGACAATCTCCGTCGTCCTGGGCGCGGATATGCACCCGCGGATTATGCAACCGGGCTTCCTGAAGATCCAGGACGGGCTGCCAGTGGCCCAGAGCACAGTTTTTGGATGAGTCGTGTCCGGAGCCTGTCACCAGCCTTAACATCGAGGGAGCTACTGCAACCCGAGCGATTGCAAGGGGGGCGGAATGTTTAGGTGAGGGGCCGTGGTGCCGCTCAGCTGGGGATAAGAGCGCATCCGCGCTGAAGAGCGCATCCGCGCGGAAGAGCGCACCCGCGCTGAAGAGCAGCCCATTAGGCTGACCGCGTTATTTTCTGAATTCACCGAAAGACACCCCCGACTTCTTAATTCAACATTTCTGGGATCCTTTGCGGTAGCAACACACCTTTCTTTTTTTACATAAGATGCGCCATTATTCACGGTATACCAGTATTCCGTAACCTAAAAAAATATGTAGTCCTACTGAAGAGAAGAAACGTGTTTAGTCATCAAACATGTTTTTAGATTTTAGTACTAGGCTTCAGTTAAAGTGGGGATGTAAGGGATAAAAACGTGGTAATAATTAGTCGGAAAACTCCACTAATTGTGTCCTTTCTACAAATTTAATTTATTACAAGAAAGGAAAGCTAACTTTGGGCGGAGCCGAAGTTGATACACCCTTGCAGCTAAAACCGGATATATATCGCAAACATCGGATATAATTGGCCGATCCTTATGAGAATATGATAATATAACCCAATTTATAATAATATAAAATTTAAAACTCTCACGTCAAATTTGAACTCTCTAACTCTAAAAACACGGAAGTTATACCATTTCCGATCAATCAGTTATATGGCAGCTATAGGATATAGTCGGCCGATTCGTGCCGTTCCGACTTATATACTGTGTGGAAAGGAAAGAAGAGTGTGTGCATAGTTTCAAGTCGATACCTTTAAAACTGAGAGACAAGTTCGCGTAGAAACAGACAGACGGACATGCTCATATCAACTCAGGAGGTGATCATGATCAAGAATATATGTACTTTATAGGGTCGGAGATGTCTCCTTCACTGCGTTGCACACTTTTGACCAAAATTATAATACCCTCTGCAAGGGTATAAATATTTAAAAGTAACTCACATTTTTGTATGTACTTTTAAATACTTCGACCAATATATGTCAAAATTATCAAATTGATAGGTATAAATAACTGTCAATATTGTCATGGCGTAAAATATAAGAAAAATCCAATATCCATATAAAAATTTTATCCACAGTTGAAGAGACATTTGAAATACCATTAAGAAAAGCAAAAAAAGTGACATGTAGCAAATTCTAAATCCTGTCATAGCGTTGTCAATCATAGCACATATAAAGATCAAAAATATTAAAAGCCACATCCATATTCTTGTAATAAAATTTGATGTACTTTTAAAAATGTAAATGATAAGTTGTGGCGCCTGCGATTTTTCAAACAGTAGATGTTCAGAGCGTGAATGATTGGGCCCAAAAATGTGATGAAGCAAATTATCCTGTGTTCTATCTTCAGCTTTTTCTTTAAAATATTGGCGTGAAGTAATCCAAAATACCAAAAGAAATCCGGTTTTTACAGTCAACGGGATCCAAGGTGGAGTTCCTTTATTTTGTGGATGAACAAATCCAACTTGCTCCAGATTAAAAGTAAAACTCTAAATAAAAAATTTACTTGTCATTATGAGTTTTGAAAAAATTAATAATTAAAAAATATGGTAACTATGTGATGAATTTTTATAGTAATACGTTTTCATAATAAGTTTTGATTCGTCCCAAGCCAGACATAAGAAAAACAAGTGTAGTATGCACATTCATTGAATACCAAATTCCTCTAACTTCGGGCGGAGCCGAAGTTGATATGCCCTTGCAGTTAAAACTTGATATGTATCGGATATAAGCCGATCGTGATGAGAATATCATAATATAACCCATTAATTACAATAAAATATCTAAAAAGTCCAAAGATTCTATTTTCAAAAATGCCAATGTTGGTATTTTTACCAAATACCATTTCCGATCATTCAGTTATATGGCAGCTATAATATCTAGTCGGCCGATCGTTATAAAATGTAGTATGTTGTATTATTTTTATAAAATTTAAAAATAAGACAGAATCCCAACTCGTTAAGTTTAAAAACACCAAAGTAATAGCATTTCCTATCAATCAGTTATATGATAGCTATAAGCCGATCTCTCTTTTCCTATTTGTATACTGCGTGCAAAGAAAATAAAGGTGTGTGCAAAGTTTAAAGTCGATAACTTTAAAACTGAGAGACAAGTTCTCGTAGAATAAGACAGACAGTAGGACATGCCTATATCAACTCCGGAGGTCATTCTGGTCAAAAATATATATACTTTATATACTTTATGTAGACATTCCGCCCATGAAAGGCATTTGTACAAAATTTTTTGTGGCCCATGAGGGGAACAATCCATAAACGAACCATCACTGAACCATTTTTTTTCTTGTCAACTCATTCATTCTCTTCGACAAAGAAGAAGCGAAAAGAACGGGATTAAACTTCGCATCGCACGTGTCGCGCAAACGCCGTCCTATTGTTGCTCTCTCACTTTGGAAGACCTTACTTACGTAAGTGTGAGTGCATATGCAAAATGAGCATGCCCAAGCTTAAATTGCCTCAGCATCAATCATCCTTGTCGCAGTGTGGCAGCAACAAAAATTGTTTCAATACGATTATCGTCACCATACCCTGCTTAATTCTCAACGAAGTATACCAGCACATCACAGATTACTTAGAACGCAGCAATGGATGGCTTCGATATTGCTCAACCTTCCGATTCCACTAAAGTGCTGATGGCCGCTGCCGCCCAGTCAACTCGATCCATTTTTCTGGCCACAGCTTTAGTAAAACTACATAATAAGAACACCGGACAAACTGCAGTTATACGAGCCTTGATCGATCATGGCTCTGAGGGCACGTTAATTACAGAATGTGCCACTCACTTACTGGGACTTCTACGTCACCGAGTCACAGCACATATCACCGGGATCGGTGATAACTCAAAGAACAGCATAGATTTAGTACAGAGTTCTCCATAAGCTCATGTACAGACCCTCAATTTCACCATCTAATGCGACCAGTGTATGTCATCAACTCGATACCCTTGATATCCTTTACCATGAAGCAATATCAACGTGGACACTTGTTAGGATCTTCATCTGCATCTGCATCTTCAGCCGATCTCACCTTTACCAGACCAGGCCGCATCAACGGATTATTTTTAGTAGATCTAATACACATTTTTTTTATTAAATGAAGTATATGTCGACGACGTCCAAACTGCTCACAATACTATTCATGGAGCATTGGAAATACGAGATCTACTTATCGCTATACTAAAATCGGAAGGAATGGAACACAGGAAATGGGCATCATATCATCCACAGAAGAAGTGTAGAAGTAAATTTCCAGGAGACTAATAAGCCCAGGATTGATGAATCGTTTTATATTGGATTAAAGGAAATCCGACACGTTGGAAGACTTTCGTCTTCAACCGGATTGGCAAGATTTTGGACGTACGATTGCGCTTCAAGAGGTTGTGAGGGTACGACTTAAAATTTGACAAAACAAAATTATGAAAATAAGTTTAAGTTATTTTAACCAATATTGAGTCGATAAAATAAGTCGATAACAGCTGCACTGTTACCCAAATAAGAGCTGTTAAGCGCGAACTTTCTGGCACCTCGATCGCCTCACAAATGAAGTACGGCAACCTCGTTCACTGCCATTTTAAGATGCGCAGGATATAAATAATCTTTTGCATTTAAAGTTCCGAAGAAAAACGACGCAAATTAAAAGAGTGCACCTCAAAGTAAAACCCGGGCAAATAATAACCCCCAAAGTAAGGTGACAACGCAGTCGAATCAGTGGCGCAACAGCAACAAAGAATTGGCTGTGTTGTGCGCAGATTTTGGCAACTGCACGTGGGTGGAAAAACATACAGGTGAGCAGGAAAAATATCCAAGCGCTGGGTGACTAACAAAAGCTTTTTAGGGATAACTCGGAAGGGGGGTGCCAGGGAAAGCCACCGGCGAGCGAAAAGTACCCTGGGCGACCCAGAAGTCACAAGCGAAGTACAACCACGCGGTCAAGTGCGAGCATACCTCGATCAGCCCCTAAACGTGCACGGAACCGGACCAGGCTCAAGCCGTTTTCGGCGAGAAGTTCCTGCAGCTTCCGGGACGGGTGCGTGATTGGGGCAGCATAGGATAAAGAAAAGTATCGAAACCTTTCGTAATGAGAACCTAAAAGGGAACGTCATCATAACCTCGTCTACATAACCTCACTACCTTGGGCCAAACCTGATGTGTAATTGATGTGTAAGGTAATTAAATTATGTGGTGGTAAATTATATTATGGTGTATTCGGGTATCCCTCGCTGATGGCGGAGTCGTCATAGATGTAAGAGATGATTATGGTGTAGTAGGGTGAACTAGGGTGTAGTCGCCCCAGGCAGTTGCCGAGGGGGTTGCTTCTCCTTGTAGGTAGTAAGCGATGATTGATTCCTGGCGGTTGCCGAGGGAAATTTCTTCTATGACAGGAACTACGGCGGGAGCACTTGCTCCGTTATCACGGCCCTTGAGGCGCGGTGACCAATTCAATAAAATGAATTTACTATTTAACTGCTGGGCCAGAGTATGGGATAAATGCCTTCTTTATTGAATGAAGCGCAAGTACAAACTGAAACTTAAAGCTAACAAAAATGTATTTCATAGCGGCCACGCAAATATGCAGTATTCGCCGGCTACGCATGGGCATTCGTTCAGACGCTGTGTCAGCAAATTGGCCAGAGCAAGCTCTCAAATAACACAGCCACACAAAAAAAAAAAAGTGTCCGGGTTGGGAGATCAGAGTACCCTATCCCCATGTATTTTGGACCGCTGAACACGAATCTGAAGTCCGTTTTGGTCCTGCACGTGTACGTTTCTTCCTAACCTCAAAAAAAGTTTTACATTTTTGGAGGTATGCGACTTTATTTTTAATTCATTGGATTTTCATGAAACTGGGTACCCAGGGGTTTTTGGGGTCGCTGATTACGAATCTAAAGTCAGATTTCCCAAATTCAATATGGCGGATTCAATATGGCGAACGAATTTTCAAAAATGAAAATCCACGAATTTTTTGAGAATTCGTCCGCCATATTGAATTTTGAAAATCTGACTTCAAATTCGTAATCAGCGACCCCAAAAACCCCTGGGTAACCAGTTTCATGAAAATCCAATAAATTAAAAATAAAGTCCTAAAAAATAAAATAAATGTAAAACTTTTTTTGAGGTTAGGAAGAAACGTACACGTGCAGGACGGACTTCATATTCGTGTTCAGCGGTCCAAAATACATGGGGATAGGGTACTCTGATCTCCACACCCGGACACTTTTTTTTTTTTGTGTGGCTGTGTAATCGGACATTGCCGTTGCGCGGTTAACTTCAGTTAACTACTCGCCCTTCAGGAATGAGGCCGTCCTCGGCCGATCCTATTTCGGCAATCATCTCTTTTAGCTGGGCCGCGGTTCTTCGGGCCTGAGTGACTGGCCGGTAGGTCAAGTCGATGCAAATCAAAGCGCAGCATATTGCTCCCGTTATGAATACCATCTGATATAATTAATTGTGGTCGATCTTCTCCCTGAATTCCTTTATGTGTTACAAATTACGTTCACTCAATCGGTGAACGATTGGAACGTTACGTTCCATAGTGACGTTCAGGGAAGGTGATCTGGCCACTCCTGGAGCCCTCTTCTGGGCTGTGTCATGTTTGACCAGTCGGGTTTCGTTGACGATGGCGCCTTCTGCAAAGCTCACGAGATATGTGCCCCTTACATGGATACAGGTGCCATTATCCACACACACGCGAGCCGTGCGATCATTTATAATTACAATCCCCTCATCAACGTAAGTAATGGGGTGTAAATCGCTTTGCTGGATCTCGCAATGCGCCATGCCTCCAGCGTGGAGCTCTTGAGCGCATGACCTTTTTCGCGCCAGCTGGCAAAATGTATCCCCTGATGTCGCAGAGTAATTTCTTACTGTGTGGATGTCATCGTCACATTCAGCAATTACGTTGTCTTCCAATCTGATTATGGTGTCGTGATGCGACATCGGGAAAACGGGGATCTTGTTACAGGCCAAGTTGATTTTTGGAAACTTAATAATAAAGTGTCAGATGTTATCGGATTGTAATATCTTAACGGACGATACGAACAAACATCCCTAATCGCGGTCTCGGTGGGCTCTTCCATCCACACACCTTCTAGGTCTCCATGATCTAAAATGGTAGGGCTAACAACATTAACCTTGGCAAGTACTACTGCCAGCATTAAACCCTGCAGCTCCATTGTGATCATCCTATTTCGAGTTCAAAGCATCTCGAATAGGTGCCCTGTGTCAATTTGGGACTGTCGGGTCAAGCAGCAAGCAACTAATTTAAACATAAAAATTAATTAGTAACTGATTTTTTGTTGGTCGCAAGCCGACTCTCTTTTGGCCGCTCGGCTTTGCTAATTCGGCGTTTAAAGTTAGCGAGCAACCGCTCAGCCTATTCTGGAAGGTTGGCGCCCCTCTCGTTCGTCTTCTTACTGCGCTCGCATCCTAAATTTGATTTCCCATATTGTTCATAAATCCTAATTTCATATGCGG